GACAAGAAGAGTGAGGCGAGACAGACAAGACGAGTGAGGCGAGACGGACAAGACGATCGCAGATGATTTAGTTTCGAAACGTTTTGTTAATAAAAGTTCTATGTTTTATATATAGGCTAAAGTGAGTTTGACGTTGTATTTTGTTGTTGTTTTCAAGCAATTGATGCTGAACTGCCGCTATTTGAAAGTGAAAGTAAAATGCGCACGCAGCTTTTACAAGCTATTTAAAAGTGAAGGAAAGCGAGGAAAAGAGGGAACGCCCGCCCCTGCGGTGATACCGGTATTACCGGTGTTGTCACACATCGATTAACCGGTGGGAAAATGTCCTCACCGTCACAACCCTATTGTGTATATACTTTAATGATATTTTATATTTTAAATCGGCTTTTATTGATGTTTTCAGTTTTCATTTCCAGTAGGTTTAAGTTACTGTTATGTGTTTTTTTTCATTTTTTTATTAGTTTTGCATGTTTCTGTTTAGCTTTCATTTGTTTAATTTGATTTAGTTGTCAAGACAACATTTCTAATTTACAGTTAAGTTTTTCATCGAATGTTCATGTTTTATATTACTTCTGCTTTATTTCAATTAGCATTAATAGTAATAGTTCACAATAATTTTTTTCATATCAGTCGATATCGATAATTATTATGATAAATGTCCATGTTTATTTTTTATTCAAGTTTAAAGGCAGATTTTTGCTCCTAAATGAAAGTTGTAAAAACCAGACCATTAACTGTGGTTTAAACTACTCTTTATGGTCCAAACACTTCACATTTGTGAATTCTATACACTTTTTCAGTCACTTTTCTGTGACAAAATAAAATGAATTTCTTAGTTGATCTAATGAGTGATATTGTTTCAAATCAAGAAACAGGTTTGTGTTGCCTGATAATATTAATAATAATAGTAATTTTTTTAGTCACTTAGAAATGCACATAACCACAGTTAAAACAACACATAGAGCACCTCAATACCATTGTGGAAATTAAACGACATGCTTTCTAGGTATATAAAACAGTAGTCTAAATACATTTAGTATAAAATAAATGCACAAACGTTATAGCTTGATCACAGGAAATATTGTAATTATATTCCATTACTCCTTTAATACATTTAATACATTAATAATATAATAAAATTCTATACGAATACCCACATTTCTTCAAACGAATAGTGCTCTTTCACTCAGCTTTTGGCGCATAAACCTTATTTTTCGAACATTTATCAAACTCTTATTTATTTCTTTAAACTCTGACCTTTTTATTGTTCACCAAGTGAAAATTCACTTAGTAAAGTAGTAAAGGTTTGTTCAAATCGTCTGCCATGACTGGAAATGAAGACTCTGTTGTTTTGAGCTCTTCAGTTCAGTGAAACACAGCAGCTGCTCTAATGGGATTATTAGACGAGTCTTAGCGACTCAATTATCGTTTTCTAATTGAATAACGTGCAGCACTAATCCTCTTCCCGTCTGCACACACACCTTCACTCATTTCCTATTGTTTGCACGTATGTTTGTTTGCTTTGTCTCTATGTAAATGCGGTTCAGCGGGAGTTTACCGTGTTTGCTGTGCTCGTATAAAGTATTTCATGCATGCTCATTTGCACATTCATTAAATGGCATATAAATCTTGCCTGCAAGGCGACGCCAGATAGCATTCCCTCCTGACTTCACTGAAATATCACCTGACAAGTGTGGAAAACATGAGGAAGATCTTCAGGCTGTGTTCCTTATAGAGTCTGTGAGATGTTAATTAGCTGAATTGAGCAAATCACTGTAAATGCCCTCATAGTTGATGGCAGCGTCGCTTTTAATTTTGCTGGCAGTGTTGTGCATTTTGTTTGTGCATCGTCCTAGCGCATTGGAATTCCACATTTTGAAACAATACCTTGGAAAATATTGATATTCGATACCATGGGGAAAAACTGCCACAACATTAAGGGCATAAAATTTGAGTTTTTTATTGAAAGATCAGTATAACAAGGCTAGAATGTGACAGTGAGGTATATGTTTATATTAAAGGTGGTAAAACACTGGAGAAAAACTTGTGGATTTGCATATGCTTACTTTAGAGAAAAGTATTATTTTTCCCATTTTTAACTATATTAGGGTGGTGTGCGCATTATGGAGCGTGTAGTGTTTTATTCATACTGAATAGTACACTGCGTGTTGTATGTATTATTATTTTAAATTCCATTTTAAATAGGGCTGAACGATTTTGGAAAATAATCTAATTGCGATTTTTTTTTTACCAATATTGCGATTGCGATTTAATATGCAATTATTTTTAAAGCTCTTTATGTTCTGTATTATTCAACAAAGACAAGCTATAAATCATTGTATAGTAGGCTATGACCAACACACTATTAGATAGATTAAACTAAAATTTTATTTTCTGTAAGCCAGGCCTATATGTTACGATGAAATTAGGTGATGCATGAATTGATATGAATGACATTTTTATTTAACAACTACAATCACAGCATATTGACTGATTTGTTGAACTTCCAACCTTGTAAGCATGTAATAATTATGACAACATAAAGCACTGACAAATAAGCCTGGTGTAAACATTAATATGAAACTAAAGTAGATTGCAGAAATATAAAAACAAATCTGTTGCTTTACCACACTACTTTAGGTCATTCAAAGTCACTGTAATAAACATACTGTATTTAAACATGTGGACTGCACTAAACACTATCTGTTAACTCTAGACCAGTGCTTCTCAACCTTGTTTGGTCACGCCCCCCTTTAAACCTATAAAAAAATCTGAATATAAAAAAAATGAAAAATTAATGCTTTTTTAATTTAAAAAACCTACAGGAAAAAAAAAACCTGCATCACTTGAAACATTGAAAAATAGCATAGAGAGAATAACTGTTATTATTATTATTATTCTATCTCTGTTATTTACTCTGTTATTACTACACCGGACGCGAGCGGCAAAATACAGTAGAACCCATTATAATCAGTAACGCTGTGTACACTAGATGCGGTGCGGCGCGACTATAGACTGTATTGGGCGCGACACAACAAAACCCGACATTAAACTGATGCCTTGTTCTATTTATGACGTACTGACACAAAGTTAAAATGATTTGCAACGGTCGCTTTGTCGCGTCCAGTGTAGAGCTGCTGCGATGCGACGCGACAACTGTAGCGTCCGGTATAGACACGGTGAGTGAAGCCGAGAGCAAGATATGCCTCGACATATTTTCTGCATTTAGCTTTTGAATGACCAGCACCTGCCTGGCTTTTCTCTTCCCTTTCACGAACTGATCCATCTCCCTTTCTAAGTTACATCTTTTGGCTGTTTACCGTTTTATTTCTTTTCTTTTTCTGCTGATGGCCCGCGCTCGACTTGAAGCAGCGCTGCTTAGACCGATCGGTGTGTCATCAAAGCACTGCGAGAGCTATAAGAGCGCGGACGTCTCCTTATGCTTTCCCTTGCCGTACTTTGATGTCATACACCGATCGATCTTCAAGTCGAACACACTTCTTTACCCTCGCGTGTCACGTGACCGAGTGTAATCGCAGCCTTTGCGATTGAAAAATCACGTATTTTCATATCGCGATATTATCGCAAATGCAATTAATTGTTCAGCCCTAATTTTAATGGTTTAAATTTGAATTATCTTATTTTTCCTTTTACAACAATAGAGCCCTATTTTTTCGGTGTTATGGCATAAAAATTAATTTAATTTATCTTTTCATTTCAATCAAATTAAAATTAAACAAACCTTTTCATTTTTGTGGCAAAAATGTAGTGCTGTAAAACAGAGGTTTACTGTTAAAATTAAAACACGGAAGAAAATTTGTGTGATCATTCCCTAAAAATAATAATTTTATTAGTAGTAGTACTAAGTCCTATATTCTAGTCAGGGCCATATATGCCCTATGGTTACTTTTTTCCTAGGCTTCTACTGTAGTAGCTAATATATTTCTGTCACAGTTTCTTCAAGTTAACCGAACTTTTATTTTGACGGGTTGCCGTGAAGAGATTTGTTTCTGTGTGTATATGACATGAAGGTAACGGTCAAACGCTCATGAAGAGATTCTAAGAGCAGTTCTGGAGATCTTGTTTATGTATTTATTAGTGCCGTCAAATGATTAATCGTGATTAATGGCATCTAAAATAAAAGTTTTTGTTTACATAATATATGTATGTGCACTGTGTATGTTTATTATGTATATATATACATACACACACATGCATGTATACAGTATATTTAAGAAAAAAATTTTATATATTAAATATATTTATTTATAGTATAAATTATATCAATATAACTATAGACATGTAATATTGACATGTGTATTTACAGTATAAATACACAGAACACACACATATTATGCAAACAAAAATTTATTTTTATTTTGTATGCGATTAATTGCGATTAATCATTTGACAGCACTAGTATTTATGTCTTCATTTAGTGAGAAGGCAGACGCTGAAAACATCGCTTCAGTATGTGTGTAGTAAACGAAACCGCGGGTCTGCACCATTCACTCACATGCAGGATTCATATTTAAATGATCTTTTTTGCGGTTTAATATTCATGCATAATAGTCCATATCACCATTTGATTTAAGTGTACTGACCTACTTTTCATGAGGGTGAGTTTTGCACATTAGTTTTTAAGTCCGTTTTCAGGTCTGTTGTCTCAGCGGTTATGACAAAACCAATCAGTGCTTCCACGAATGCGCTTCTATTAGGGATGTAACGATTAACCGCGAGCCGGTTGAAAATCGATTTAAATATGTGACGATTCAAATCGGTTGAGATGCTAAACAAATCACGATTCATTTAGGGGAAGGAGTTTATATGAATGTATGTCTGAGGTGAACTTACTGTCTTTCGATGGTAATTTTTCTTTTCCTCTTGCCTCTGTCTAAAGCATATTAAAGTTCATAAGTGCAGCGCTGCTTTGTTTACAGCCGAAACCAAAGAAACGCTTTAAGCGCCACCTGCTGGCAGAGCGTGCATCTGCGTCTCGTTCAGCTCGTCTGCTGTTTCTGTTTCATGCAGATATTTTATGTATAGTTTCACAAAACTGAAGTCAAACCATTCTGTTTTTGTTTCAAATTTCGAAATTATACAATCTAATTTAGATTAAAAACTGCTCGTGTTGCATGTATGCAGCATCTTTGTTTGGATCAAGATTCAAATGCAGTGGTTGCCTCTAATTTTAAATGGAAAGAGCACAAGACAAAGCCTTAGTTTGTTTATATGAAGAGATTTATTTTATTTTTGTTGTTTATTTGATTTGGGGCTTGTTTTAAAATTTCAATTTAGTTTTATTTACATTTACATTATATTTAAATTTAGTTATTTAGCAGACGCTTTTATCCAAAGCGACTTACAAATGAGGACAATAGAAGCAATCAAAACCAACAAAAGAGCAATAATATGCAAGTGCTATATTAGTATATTATTATAGTGTTATATTTCAATTTCACAAAGAAACGTACAGTATTTTGTCCAAGCAATAATAAAAGGACTCGAATCGAATCGTGAAACCAAAATATCGAATCGTGAAATAAAAATATCGAATCGTGAGATCAAAATATCGAATCGAATCGTGAAATGTGCTATATTAGTATATTATTATAGTGTTATATTTCAATTTCACAAAGAAACGTGCAGCATTTTGTCTAAGCAATAATAAAAGGACTCGAATCGAATCGTGAAACCAAAATATCGAATCGAATCGTGAAATCAAAATATCGAATCGTGAAATAAAAATATCGAATCGTGAGATCAAAATATCGAATCGAATCGTGAAATCAAAATCTCGAATCGAATTGTGAAACCAAAATATCGAATTGAATCGTGAAATCAAAATCGCGAATCGAATCGTGAGTTGAGTGAATCGTTACATCCCTAGCTTCTATGCATCAAAACCCGCACAAATACAGCGTTCGATTAAAGTCAGGAATCTTTTCATGCGGATCAGCTGAAGAATGACAGATTACACACGTTAGGATGTAGTTGCGCTCCGGATGACATGCTCTGACGTGCTGCAGCTTCATGTTTTATTGATGGAGGCCAGAGTGACTCTCACACTCATTTTTAACGAGTCTGTTCGAGAGGCCGCTTTTATCAGGCCTCATATTATGCCAGGGCTTGCATGACTGAACATCTCAGCAGCTCCAAGCCTAAAACTAAAGCATTAATACTCACAGTGCTTCATTTATGATGTTATGATCTGATCACATCTCCTCTCTTATGTTTACAGTACTGGCTCGATCCCTGGAAAACACTCGCTGAACATAAAGATTTGATAACAAGTAAGTATGCACTGGTTTCTACTGAAATACTCCTCAGAAATCTTCCGAGACGGTCTATAATGCATCATGGGATTAAACACTTTGACCTAATGATTATCCTTCATCTTCGGTGAAGATTAAATATGGATCTGTAATGAATCTCTAAAGGCCTCCTGATAAAACTTGCATTGCATTTCAGATGATAATTTGGAAGTTATTATGCACTTAAGCCCGTCTAAATAAGTAGTAATGGATGCAATTATGTTTGCGTGTTTAGTTGCACATGCATATTTACTGATGTGAATGTAGGGCAGAATTTACAACGCATTTGTTTAATTCAGTGATTCACTCCTCTGGGAAATTAATGCATTCTATTATGCACATATTGCTAACCCTATTGTTTTAAATGCATCTTAAATAAGCTTGACTAGCTGGTTCAGGTGTGGTAGTTTTGCAGAATGGAAAATTGGTCACTTTATATTCGATTTTATTAGACGTAGAGCATAATTCTACATGTAATTGTTTTGTGCAACTGCTTAAAATTACCTATAATGCTTTGATTATTTATAAGTTCTGTAATTAATTATCCGTGCATGTAATCTGTGTAACACTGGCAGTGTTTCCTAACCTGACTTGAGGAGCTCAAACTGGTTGGAAATAATTGTTTACATGCAACTTTACAAACCAAAGCAGGATGACGCACTACTGCGATACGGCAAAAATATCATATCACGTTTTTTTAAGGCAAGATTTCGATCCACAGTCTTATCACAGTACTTCTTCAGGTTGGTTTTTTAAGACTTTTAAGTTACTGGGCAGTACAGCTAATTTCATTTTTCTTCATATATTTTTCACTTTCATTTTATTGAATTGATTTGTTTATTTTTATAATTTCCTTTTATTTTATAGTTTTATTTTATGCATTTATTTAATGTATAATATTTATATATTTTTACATTTTCATTTTATTATATCATTTTGTTTAATAGATTGTATATTTTTATAATTTCACTTTATTTTATAATTTCATTTATTTTATCGTTTTATTTTGTATTTATTTTTTCATGTTTATTCATTTATTTTTATAATTTCGTTTTGTTTTGTTTTTTGTATAATTTCATTTTAGTTACATATTTTAAATAGCCTTTTATTTATTTATTTTATTTTTATAATTTCATTTTTTATCATTTTATTTTATAGTTTTATTTTTTGCATTTATTGAATGTATAATATTTATATATTTTTACATTTTCATTTTAGTATATAATTTTGTTTAATAGATTATGTATTTTTATCATTTCATTTATTTTATCATTTTATTTTGTTCATTTACTTGTTTTCATGTTTATTCATTTACTTTTATAATTTCATTTTGTTTTGTTTTTTTGTATAATTTCGTTTTATTTACATATTTTAAATTTCATTTTAAATTTTTTAAAATTTTTATAGTTTTATTTTATGCATTTATTTAATGTATAATATTTATATATTTTTACATTTTCATTTTATTATATCATTTTGTTTAATAGATTATGTATTTTTATAATTTCACTTTATTTTATCATTACATTTATTTAATAATTTTATTTTGTGTTCATTTTTTCATGTTTATTCATTTACTTTTATAATTTCATTTTGTTTTGATTTGTATAATTTCATTTTATTTACATATTTTAAATTTCATTTTATTTTTATAATGTCATTTTTTTAAATCATTTTATTTTACGTGTTTATTTATTTTCATAATTTTTATTCATTTACTTTTATAATTTGTCTTAACCAGGCTTGACAGGATAAAATGACAAACAATTAATCCTCTCTGATCCATGTTAATGTGTGAATATTTTAATATTACAGTCTCTTGGTTGCCATTGGTCACATCATGCTGTGTAGCCACGCCCACTGCGCAAACTCATTGGTCTAAAAGCTCTACTTTAAAAATCATGTTCTGTTTGGCTGTGATTGTGTTTTTTTTTAGTTTTTTTGCTTGAATTAAGGACAGACAAATCAGTTGATGCGGACAGTGTCGCGTTGCATCTGGTTAGGACTTGCTGGGTTTAGTGTTACCAGTAAATTCATCTCCTGTATTTATTTTCTGGACTTTATCTAGAAGGTAGATCACTGTGTGTTTGAGTTAAAGGGTTTTTTCTTCTTTCCAGCTGGACCTCCGTTCACGCTCTACTTTGGGGTGAAATTTTATGCTGAAGATCCTTGTAAACTAAAAGAAGAAATTACACGGTGTGTTTTCTGTGCTTCGTGAGCATAAATGAGCACTACAGTGATATTAGAGATGCAAGCATTCAGTCATTTCATTAATATCATGCTAAATGCTCTTTACTGTCTTCTGTCAGGTATGAGTTCTTCCTGCAGGTAAAGCAGGACGTCCTGCAGGGGAGGCTTCCCTGTCCGTTTAACATCAGCGCACAGCTGGGAGCGCTTGCTATTCAATGTACGTACAAATTCACAAGTTGTTCCAGGGAATTTAATACAGCAATTGTCATGTCAGTCTAGTTATTATTACGTCAGCAAATGAGTTACAGGCTTCCCAGCTTGTTTTATAAGATGCTCTCTAAGATTATTAAAATAAGTTGTTTTATGATTCATATTTTGCTGTAACATTAGAGTAAAATGTTATGGTGTGATAGTTGTAATTTTACACATTTGAATTTTAAATAAAAATTGTATAATTTGATAATTTTATCTTTATTTTTAAAATATTTATTTAAATTTACTTATTCGTGCTTTATAATTGTATTTATGTATATTTGATTTGATTTGATTTGTTTATTTTTTAGAATTATATAACTAGTTTTAAAGTTTTATTTATTTCATAATTTCATTTTGTAATTTTATAATTTAATAAAAAAATTATAATTTCATTTTATTTATAAATTTTTATAATTTCATTTTTTTATTTTGAGAATTTTTTTATTTCTTTACTTTTATATTTTTATTTATTTTATAATTTCATTATGTTTATTCATTTATTAGTTTGTCTGATTTCATTTATTTTATAATTAGATTTTATTCATTTGTTTATTTTTATAATTTAATTTGATTTATTTTATAGTTTAATTTTGTTTAATTGTCTAGTTTTGTTTTATTTATTTATTTTATAATTAGATTTTATTCATTTGTTTATTTTTATAATTTAATTTGATTTATTTTATAGTTTAATTTTGTTTAATTGTCTAGTTTTGTTTTATTTATTTATTTTATAATTAGATTTTATTCATTTGTTTATTTTTATAATTTAATTTGATTTATTTTATAGTTTAATTTTGTTTAATTGTCTAGTTTTGTTTTATTTATTTATTTTATAATTAGATTTTATTCATTTGTTTATTTTTATAATTTAATTTGATTTATTTTATAGTTTAATTTTGTTTAATTGTCTAGTTTTGTTTTATTTATTTATTTTATAATTAGATTTTATTCATTTGTTTATTTTTATAATTTAATTTGATTTATTTTATAGTTTAATTTTGTTTAATTGTCTAGTTTTGTTTTATTTATTTATTTTATAATTAGATTTTATTCATTTGTTTATTTTTATAATTTAATTTGATTTATTTTATAGTTTAATTTTGTTTAATTGTCTAGTTTTGTTTTATTTATTTATTTTATAATTAGATTTTATTCATTTGTTTATTTTTATAATTTAATTTGATTTATTTTATAGTTTAATTTTGTTTAATTGTCTAGTTTTGTTTTATTTATTTATTTTATAATTAGATTTTATTCATTTGTTTATTTTTATAATTTAATTTGATTTATTTTATAGTTTAATTTTGTTTAATTGTCTAGTTTTGTTTTATTTATTTATTTTATAATTAGATTTTATTCATTTGTTTATTTTTATAATTTAATTTGATTTATTTTATAGTTTAATTTTGTTTAATTGTCTAGTTTTGTTTTATTTATTTATTTGTGTCATTTTATTTTGTTTATTGAGCCATACAGCCAAATTAAATTAATACAATTATTTAAAAAAATTATTATTAAAATTATTAAACATATATATTTATATACGAGGTAGCAAAATATAAAAGAAAAAAGAATGACAGACCATTTAGACCCAAAGTAGGGATGTGCAATATGAACAAAATCTTATTTCACTTTATTTAATTTCATTTAATTTCATTATTTTAAAAATGGGATGAACAATATGACAATTATTTAATATGATTAAGTTTCGTGTTATTATTTAATATGAAAGATGCAAATTAACTAAACTTACATTAGTTTCATGTACAGTAAGCCTATTTAACAGCTGTATTCAAGTAAGAAATTGAATAATCAAATGTAAAAAATTAAACGCTGAAACTATCTGAAATAAGTTAACTTTTTATATGTCTTTTTATTTTGGTAATAAAAATGTTTTTTTTATGGTTTTAGTTTTAGTTGTTAATAATGCTGCATTAAAACAATGATCAGCGGTATTTTTAATTAACAAACATTAACAATAGTTAAGTGTTGAAAAAAGTGCTCATTAGTTCATTTTAGTTAATGCATCAACTAATGTTATATAGGTCATATGATGTTGCTAAAAAGAACATTATTTTGTGTATTTGCTGTAATGAAATGTGTTATAACCGCAGTCTGTCATTATGTTGCTGAAGAAGATGGAGTCCAGACCAGTGTTGGGGAAAGTTACTTTTAAAAGCAATGCATTACAATGTTGCGTTACTCCATAAAAAAGTAACTAATAACGGTACTTAGTTACTTTTTATGGAAAGTAATGCGCGTTACTTTTTAAATCTGCACAGGGCTTGCTTGTTTGTTTTTATAGAGCTGAAGATGTGCTTTGGTTATTGTTTTTATGTTCCAGGTACAGCCACGTTCTCACGCCGTACTCCAAGGCAGTTCCTGCAGTGATTGCCAAAGCATCAGCCATCTACAATCCCTTCATCTACGCCATCGTACGCTCCAAATACAGGTTCGTTCGAGTGCAGTCGCCTTAGCAGCCACACGATACGGAGACAATATGTAACGCAGTGTGTATTTCTGACTGATTCACAGAGACACGCTGGCTGAGAAGGTGCCATGTCTGCATTTTCTTTCCCAGTCATCACGTAAAGAATGCATCTCGGTGTCCAACAGCGAGTCTTCCTTCAAGGAGCCCATGCTTAGCCGACAGTCATCACAGTCAAAGGTCAAGCTCCAGCGAGTCTCCTCTATGTCCACCGCAGACACGGTTAGTATTTTACTACGAGGAGACTGAATAATGGAAATGTCTTATCATTTAGTTCAAGAATGCATGACCACACTATTCAGAATGCACAATATTACGAATGTGACGCTTTGTATTTATAATGCAAATCCAGTACTAAATCAAGGAGATATTGTTATTGTTAATATTTTGAAAAATAGATATGACCAGGTGTACAGTGGAGGCCAAAATGATTAGAACACTAGTATTTCAGCAGCTAAAAACTGGTTTTAAGTCAGTTATGTCTATATTTTGCTGTAGTGTGTCAGTAGGAAATATCAGTTTACATTTCCAAACACTCATTTAGCCATTAATTGTAATAATGCAGTGAGATTATTGTCTGACAGCAGCAGTGCTGCACACAGAGATCTGATCTGATCATCATCAGTCTGTCTGGAGTGACATGAAGAAACAGAACAAACTGAGACAGACTCAATCCAGAAGAACTGATGCTTCAAGAAACCTACCTGTAAAGCTCCCTGAGAAACTCTGCTCAAGTGCACCGAGAGCAAAAACTGCTTTAACCGCTCACACCAAATGTTGATTTAATTTAGTTAATAGAAGTTAACTAGAAGCATCCTCATTTTACAGCATTTTTACACAAGTGCCTAAAACTTTTAACTTGAGCAGAGTTTCTCAGGACCTTTGCAGGAGGTTTCTTGAAGCGTCAGTTCTGCTGGATTGAGTCTGTCTCGGTTCGTTCTGTTTCTTCAAAGATAGAAATAAGTGACTTAAAACCATTTTTTAGCTGCTGAAAATACTAGCGTTCTAATCATTTTGGCCTCCACTGTAGGTTTGGTGTGTGTATACATATATACTTATGATTTATATATTTATGATTTATGTAAGTATGTATTATTTATTTTATTTAATAAATTATATATTTAATTATTTATTTATATCTATATAAAATGCTGTAAAAATGAGTTAAATATATACATAGTTTTATAATTATTTTATTTATATATTATATATATATATATATATTATTTGTCATTATGTTTATAAATTTTATTTTAAAAATACATTATTGTTTGTTGTACATATAAAACAGGAGAATTTATATGAATATATTAATGTTTTTAATATTATTATATTTTTATATATTATTTACGTCATTTATATTTTTATACTTTTATATATATATATATATATATATATAAATATATTCTCATGTTTTATATATATTATAAATATGAAAATATATAAAATATAAATTCACATATATATATATATATATATATATATATATATAAATTCTCATGTCAAAAGTTCAGATATTTTACACACAATTTGAGTAATTGGATAAAATAAAAAATGTTTAACAATAACTGCATTTATTTCTGGATACCACTTTCTGAATTAAACTTGCAGCATGATGAGATATTGACATAAGCGTAGTACAGGTATGCTATGGTTTGACTTGCGCACTGTTTTGCATACTATATAAACAGTAGGGCTGGGTAAAAAATATCGATATCTCAATTATAATCGATTCTCAGTATTACGAAGCGATATCGATTCTTAAATCCCAAGAATCGATTATTCTAGCCTGTTTTCAGTTAATGGATGGAACATTGAAGCGCACCTCCCATCCAATAAATCGCAATAAGCATTGTGCTTTGGTACTTTTAATATGAAAAAAAGTCTCAGATTTCAAATTCTCTCCATTGTATTGCAGTATAAATGCCATTTTGGTGCTGTTTAATGTGAAGTGACAGATCGATGTAGCGTCTCAGTTCATCAGACGCAGCAGCGCGAGGCGCACGTGAACTGATCAGATCTCCTCCACATTAATACCAGCTTCAGCACGAAATAAACATGACTAAACATCCGAAGGTAAGTCAAAAGAAAGAAACTTTATAATCCGTATCCTATCTCATGTAATCGCTCAATCAGTGTTTCAGCCGCGCAAAGACGCCAATGGCTTGTAAACAATCTCACGTAACGTCACATTTACCTAAAAAAAAACATATTCGGTGACCATAAACTCATTAGTCAGCTAGAAAAATAAACTGTAGAGAGGAGCATTTTGCTTAATCTATGCACCATATAACATATTCATTATATTTTTTTACTGTTCTTCAATGTTTAATTTATGTTTGAATAAATCCATCAAGTTTTTATGACAGCCACCATTTAAATATTTATATTTTTAAAAAACGGAACTGAAGTAGAAATATTATTATGTAACTGTAACTTTATTATTGTAAAAACTTCATTAATTTTATATTATAGTAATGTAGTAGCCTGCCAACTGACTCTCATGTATATTTTACAGCATTAATTGAGAGATTTTTTTTTCCTTGAGAAATTGTACTGTACCTGATATATATCCAAAATAATCGATATTGAATCAAATCGAATTGGTAATCGAATCGAATCGCAAGCTTGTGAATGAGAATCGAATCGAATCGTGAATTTTGTGCCAAAACCCAGCCCTAGAAACAGAATGCGCAGTACGCTATAGTTCCCTTCTGCACACAGCCGCAGACAAAGAGAAGTGTGGTTAAAGTGTGTTGACCCTCTCTGAGACAGAACCAAAGCATCATGGGAGTCCCGTCTGTGCTGCATCATGTTTTCTGTGCGCACTGGGAGCAATACGCAGCCGCACGCACACGACCCGAATGAAAGAGATGAATGCGGCGAGTCCCCGGGGGACCAGAAAATGACGGGGCCACGACACTTATAATAGAGCATCTACAATCAGCAGAGACCCGCCGCCGCTGTGAGGAGAATCCTTAATGCAGTCATGCACATGTGACCACAGCAACACAATAGAGCATGCAGTTATTTATGAAGTGCATTTTTTTTTTAAATAATTATGAATTCTACCCAAAATTATATGTTTAGTGAACATGTCATCATTTAGTGAAGAATCATATATATAAATTATGATATGTGTGTGTGTATATACTGTATATGTATATACAGTATATATATATATATATATATAAATATATTTTAAAAAATGATCCTTTATTTTACCAGGATTTCCAGGGAGTCCTGCCAAAATGGCAGCACAAAAAGTTTCACAATAAAACAATTACAAACACATAAAACAAACACAATTTTGCCCTACATTCAGGTGATTACACATAAAATGTTTGCAATTTATATATATATAAAAATATGGCTCAATTATTTCCACTTAATTCACATAAGTTCACATACTATAACACAGTGTCATAAAATAAAAATTAAATTAAATATAAATATATAGTATAAGTAGTATTCATCTTTTTTCAATTGTTTCATAGACATAAAGATAATATAATACAAATAAATAACAATATTACAAATATAAAATTATGTATACACTTATAAAATGTAAAAACATTTTTAAAATGATATAAAAAACTTTTATAGTTAAATATTATTTTATTAAATATGTATTAAATAAAATAAATGTATATATATATATATATATTAAAATCTATATTTTGAAGTTGCATGTATGCACTTTTTCTTGGGTCTGTTCTTGGATGTTTCCCGGAGTCTGTATATTTTTCTCCTATCTCTATTGTTGTGTTAAGATCATGCTCTGACTCCACATTCCTGCATTAGTGTCAGTAGGTTAAATAAACATTGTTTCAGCACGACTGCTTTCAGGTTTGACCTCACTGGAACGAGTCTGTTATTCAGTCCGTGACAAACACATATTTACAAATCACTGATTTCCTCAAATAGTTTTTAAAAAGCAACACTGAAAATCACATTCAGTCCTTCTGGGGAAATCAGTGAGTTAATGATTACAGTTTGAATATTTCTTTTTTTTTCCTTTTATGCTGCTGTTGTTTACTTTGGTATTTCAAATATTTGCTGACAGTAAATCCTTGTTTGTTGCAAGAGAACGTTTAACCCTGTAAAGCCGGACATATGAAATAATGAAATGCAGATTTATCAAGCCTTCAGACAAGATATATAAGAAAATCGAAAAATAAAAGTTGAGAAAATGGAGTTCATATTTGAAGAGGAACAAAACCGCTCAGTTTTATTCAGAGACTCAAACTGAGCAAAAATATGAATTTGCTGCAGATGCTGATATTTAAATGATGCAGTTCTGCTGCTTGTAGTGTAAATCAATGAGATCTTTATAACAGTACAGCAGATACTGACATAAAATGATCTAAATATCAGTGGTCGCTCTGCAGTGGCATGTGAAAGTTTGGGAACCCCTTGCAGAATCTGTGAAAATGTGAATAATTTTAACAACATGAGAGAGATCATACAAAATGCATGTTCTTTTTTTATGTAGTACTGTCCTGAGTAAGATATTTTACATAAAAGATGTTTACATATAGTCCACAATTATTAAAATAACCCCCTTCAAAAGTTTGTGAACCCTTGGTTCTTCATACTGTGTGTGTCACCTGGATGATCCACGACTGTTTGTGTGTTTTGTGATGTTTGTTCATGAGTCTCTTGTTTGTTCTGAACAGTTAAACTGAGCTCTGTTCTTCAGAAAGATCCTCCAGCTCCTGCAGATTCTTCAGGTTTCCAGCATCTTCTGCAGATTTCAACCCTTTCCAGCAGTGACTGTAGGATTTTGAGATCCATCTTTTCACTCTGAGGACAACTGAGGGACTCAAACACAACTATTAAAAAAGGTTCAAACATTCACTGATGCTCCAGAAGGAAACACGACGCATTAAGAGGCCAAAGATGTCCACATTTTTCTTATTTTGTTGAAATATAATTTTTTTCCAGTTAGTTTTGCCCATCGGAAGCAACAGAAGATACGTGCATGTTTCCCGGAAGACAAATTAAATGCAATTTACCTTGATCTTCAAATTCTCTTAATGCGTCTTGTTTCCTTCTGGAGCATCAGTGAATGTTTGAACCTTTTTTAATAGTTGTGTTTGAGTCCCTCAGTTGTCCTCAGAGTGAAAAGATGGATCTCAAAATCCTACAGTCACTGCTGGAAAGGGTTGAAATCTGCAGAAGATGCTGGAAACCTGAAGAATCTGCAGGAGCTGGAGGATCTTTCTGAAGAACAGAGCTCAGTTTAACTGTTCAGAACAAACAAGAGACTCATGAACAAACATCACAAAACACACAAACAGTCGTGGATCATCCAGGTGACACACACAGTATTGAAGGGGGTTATTTTAACAATTTCAGCTATTTTTTTGTCTATATGTAAACATCTTTTATGTAAAATATCTTACTCAGGACAGTACTACATAAAAAATAACATGCATTTTGTATGATCTCTCTTATTTTGTTAAAATGATTCACATTTTCACAGATTCTGCAAGAGGTTCCCAAACTTTCACATGCCACTCTATATCTCCAATAATATGTTTTAGTAAAATGAGATTGAAATAATCCAAACACATAATGCAATGCAATCCAATGCTGATTGAGAGATGAAGAAATAAACGCTCCTCAAAAGATATGAGATGTTCTGGTGTTGTACAATTACACTAAAAGATCTTTTAATTGATAAAAACCGTACACTATCACTCAGAGACAGAAGACATGCAGTAGACTGAGTGGGACAGGTTTAACAGCACAGTTTTGATCATGATGCTCTTTTATATTGTTTCGGAGGACTTTGCGGTGTATGTTTGGTGTTTTTTCTGCTCAGTTGTGTGTCGTGTGGTTCTCTCTGTTCAGGGGTCAGGTGCCTGCCGAGGCTGAAAATAATTACTTAGCAATTGCCAAAACACTGGAGATGTACGGCGTGGATCTGCACCCTGTGTTTGTAAGTTCAGCCCTGTTTAATCAAGAGCTGCTTCTCTCCTTCATTTTATTTGATTGGATACAATATCAACATCTGTCTTTTCTGTTAATGATTTAATTCTTCCTTTCATTTCTCCGCTGCTCCAGCTTGATTCTTAATAATCCTGGCAGTATACTCTATGAATATTGATGATGAATTGCTTGTGTTTTTGTTTATTAGTCTCGTAATGCATGAATGTTTTCAGGGAGAAAAGCAGTCGGAGTATTTCCTGGGCCTGACGCCGGTCGGGGTCGTGGTTTACAAAAACAAAACACAAGTGGGGAAATATTTCTGGTAGGTTGATGTTTAAACTGAATTTTTCACCTATTAGAGGAATAATTCACCCAAAACTGAAAACTCTCAGTCATTCGAAACCCACATGAATGTGTTTCAGGATGTTTTTGAATTTTCAAAACAAATCCTTTAAATATATGATATGATACATGCTGTGATATATGTAATATTATAGTATATGATATAATATCTGATGTATGTTATGATATGATCCTTTAGTCTCATAGTATGAGATGTATATGAGATAATATTTATCTCATATCATATATCATATCGTATATCACATCATATATCACATATATGATATATATCATATATCTCGTAACATATATCATATATATGATATATATCATATATATGATATATATTGTATGATATGATAAATGATGTGAAATGAGATATATGAAATGATTATGATATGATATGATATGATATGAGATGTATGATGTGGTATGAGATTTATGATATGATATATGAAATTAGATATTTGATATATGGTATGAGATATGATTTGATTTGATTTGATATGATAAGAGATATGATATGAGATATGATTTGATTTGATATGATAAGAGATATGATATGATATGCGATATATGGTATGAGATATGATTTGATTTGATATAAGAGATATGATATGATATGAGATATATGGTATGAGATATGATTTGATATGATAAGAGATATGATATGATATGAGATATATGGTATGAGATATGATTTGATTTGATTTGATATGATAAGAGATATGATATGAGATATGATTTGATTTGATATGATAAGAGATATGATATGAGATATATGGTATGAGATATGATTTGATTTGATATGATATGAGATATGATTTGATTTGATATGATAAGAGATATGATATGATATGATATGAGATATATGGTATGAGATATGATTTGATTTGATATGATAAGAGATATGATATGATATGAGATATATGGTATGAGATATGATTTGATTTGATATGATATGATAAGAGATATGATATGATATGAGATATATGATATATGGAATGACATGATGCAAGATACTGTATGATATCATATATAGTATAAGTTTATATTACTTTATATTAACACTTTACTCTTGACTTTGTCACTCTGTTTTGATTTGTTTTTATGCACAGTGTTAAATAATGTACTTTTAATCAATAATGTTTCAGGCCAAGAATTACGAAAGTGTATTTCAAGGAAACCCAGTTTGAGCTGCGGGTTATGGGCAGAGATGTAAGTCGTCTTTTTAATACAACATCACAATAAATAAATGAACTGCGTGTGATCTCTAGATACCATAAAATCTCTTGAATTTACATGCAATCATTGCATTATACTGTTACCTCCGTATAAACCTTAACATCATGAATTTCTGTGCAGCTGCTTTGAATCGATGTGTGTTATGAAAAGTGAAAGCAAGCAACAAAATTCATGTATAAACCTGCTTTACTTTATTGCAACTGCTTCCATAGCGTCACAAGCTCTGGGTGGAAAATCAATGAAAAGCCTGTGATCGATGGAGGTTTATGACTGGCCTCAAGCCTCTTGACAGTGTCTATAACCCGTTTCCTCCAGGGCCCAATTTAAGCTGCAGTGAAGCGTCCTCTCGCTCCAGGACTCTGGCCCTCTTCATCTGAGCCAGTGAGATCAGACTAATGAGAGCGCACGCGGGTTATGAGGGCCGCCACCGGTGATGAGCATTTAACATCAAGTATATACACGCATGCGTTTGAACACAGCTTCCCTGTGTGTTTTCAGTGCAATGAGACGTCATTCTTCTTCGACGCTCCCAGTAAGACGGCCTGCAAGAACCTGTGGAAGTGCTGCGTGGAGCATCACACCTTCTTCAGGTACAGCAGCTGAGATTTCCTGCTCTATTAAAGAAGTTACCCAGTACAGTAGTGTATCAGACGGCGGGAATTCAAATATTATTCCATTTCACGGGTACCGAATAATGCATGTCCAGAAAACATGGTAACACCATGCTATAATATTTATGTGCTATAATTTTATTAATATTTTGATTTAGCTTTTATTTTTATAATTTCAGTTTTCTTTTTCATTTTAGTTTGTGCTTTTTTATTTATTTTAAATATTACTATTTAGGTTTAATGTATTTTTAATTCAGTTTTGTTTTAATTTCAGTTTTAGTTTTTATTTATTTCCATTTAGCAATTTTAGAGCTTCATCGAAATAAGAAATGTTGCCTTGGCAACTAACTGAAATATGTTTTTCATATCTTTATATTTTATTTAATTTTATTCAAGCTTTATTTCAGTTAACGGGTTAAATTTATTTATTTATATTTTCGTTTAAAGTTGAAGCACTAAAAATGGAAATAAAATAATATTAGAAATAAAACAATAAAAAAATAAAAGAAATACATAAATAAAAATAATAATAAAAATGAAAAAAGCCCATAATAAGATTACAAAAAATGTAAGTTAACTTGTTAACTGAAATACAATTTTAACTGTTAATTAAAATAAAGCTTGAATAAAATAAATTATAAAGATTAGATTACATTTTTTTAATTATTTCAGTTAGTTTTATCATTTTCAGTTTATTAAATTGAAGCACTAAAATCGCTAACTGGAAATAAAAAATAAATCAAAACTAAATAGTAATATTTAAAATAAACAAAAACTAATAAAAGTGACAAAAGCACATAAAATTACTAATAATAAAAAAAAAGAGTATAAAATAAAAGCTAATTCAAAAAAATAATAAAACACTTAAATTAATAATAGTAAATAAACAATACCAAATGCAAAATGGATATTATAGCATGGCGTTACCATGTTTTTTGGACATGCATCATATATAAAATTAACATCTGATATACTGATATGTGCTTTTGTGGTAACATTTGAACTAAATGGTTTTATTAAAGTCAAAAATATCATTTAATATGACCGAATCTACCTGATTGCATTACAAGCACCAATAAAACACTCATTTTAAGGCTCAGCTCAGTAGCAGCTACACATTTCCACTGCATGAAACTGCTTGCGTTGGAACAACCTCATGCACTTTATAAACATCTTAATCCGGTCTGAACTACTTGTTTGAGTGCAGAAAGCCGAACCCGCTGCATTACACTCTCACAGAGAAACGCTGCGAACCCAAGGGCCCTTCAGATTCCCGCGGCTTAACAGAGGCTCTTTATTCTGAGGAGAAGCGTTCACAGTCGTCTCTGGTGTTGTGTTTGTTTAATCAGAGCCGTCTCACTCCGATCCCCAAAGAGCTTTACACGCTCAGAACGCAGGCGGCTGGAGGTTTCTGCTGCTAATCCGCGTGTGAGAAACACCTCCAAACTCCTGCAGGCTTTAATATTAAGAACAGAATTCTTGCGAACACTTTACACTGAGGTCTCAGTTGTGAACATGCGTTAATGCATTAGCTAACATGTTAGCTTGATAGAAAACTGAAATGAAAATAAACAGTATTTTTTTAAATAAATAATTAATAAATAAACACCAAACTGATCAAAATGGCAAAAGCACATAACAAAATTACAAAAAATTTTAGCTCAAATTAAAATGAAAACTAAAAGTATAAAAACAAAAGACAATTCTAAATAATTGATCAAATGCAGAAACAAACATTTTGATATGATCAGTTTTTTGGACATGCATCATTTAGTATACATTATTATATACGGTAGTATTCATCTGATCATCTATTTTATCAGGTAACTGAGCTCTTTTTGGTAACATTTAAACTTGTTTTATTTAAGTTCAAAATATTATTGAATATGACAGAATGAACCTGACTACATTAAAAGCACCAATAAATCCATGCAAATTTTTATTCATAGTTTAATAATATTTCTTTTAATTATTTTAGTACGTCACGTTAAACTATGCGAAAATGTGAACTGTTGCTTTAGCAACTATAGCTGAAATAAAAAATATTTAAAAAGTTTTATTTTAAATATCAAAAATGTTTACCTTTATGGTTTTAATTTTAGTTTCAGTTTACTGTAATAACCCTGGTTGAAATGAACAGCTACTAAAAGCTGTAGAACTACATTGTTGACTAATATATTTGTAATGAATTATTGATTGTTAGTGTTGTTTGCTATGACTGTTGTTTATATGTCGTGTACAGAGCTGAACACATCTGAAACGCTGAGCGGAAACAGGACCGTCCCGACTTTAAAAACAAGCCCAATCATGTTCTGTCATCATAACACACAGATCGAAATTATCAGAGACAAATTATACAGAACATGGCGTTCCTCAGTTCTAGTCTGATCTCTCATTATGTTTTGGCTTTTCATTTCTCTGCTGGTTGGTTCTGCGTTTTAGCAGAGCTGCGTGTTTACAGCTTTTTCATTTTAATGAGAGGAAAGCCCTCCTAACACATTTGTTCTGTAATTTAGCTCATTAAAATATGGCTGTAAACAACAGATTTGCCCCACAGATGTTTGGAAGGAGGCTATGAAACGACATCCATGTTTCATCAGGAGTGAACATGAGATGGAGAATGAATAAAAAACACACAAAACCTGTGAGGTTGTTCATCTAAATGTTGATATTTTTGTAAATATTCTTAATAAAATGTCTTTCACAGAATGCCAGAGAACGAGTCTAATTCACTAACAAGGAAACTGTCCAAATTCAGCTCTCTGGGCTCGAAGCATCGCTACAGGTTCGTAAACCAGAAATTAATACTTTTATCCAACAAAGATGCATTAAATTGATCAAAAGTGACGGAAAAGATTTTTAATGTTACAAAAGATTTCTATTCCAAATAAATGCTGTTCTTTTGAACTTTCTGTTCATCTGTGAATCCGGAAAAATAATAAAAGTATCACGGTTTCCACAAAAATATTGTGCAGCACGACTGTTTTCAACATTGATAATAATCAGAAATGTGTCTCGAGCAGCAAATCAGCATATTATACTGATTTCTGAAGATCATGTGACACTGAAGACTGCAGTAATGATGCTGAAAATACAGCTGCGCATCACAGAAATACATTACAGTTTAACACATATTCACATAGAAAACAGATATTTTAAATAATAAAAATATTTCACATTTTAACTGTTTTTACTGTATCTAATAAATGCAGCCTTGGTGAGCAGAAGAGGCTTCTTTCTGAAATATTAAAACATGTTTCTGACCCCAACGGAGTTATAGAAGTTGTCATAAATCTATAACCAGATAAAAACCCAAGACACGAGGTATTGAGAAATGACCTTTAATATGCACAGACAGATATTAGTCACAGACAGTGATATAATGCTGAATGTGTGACTCATGTTACTGTCATTACATTCTCCGGGTTAGTCATTAAATAAACATAAAATGGCTGCATCACATCCATCCAAATGTGGGCCGAACTCAAAAGAATAAAAGGCCAAATAATTGACAGATTACAAAATCACAGCACCTTAAAACTACTACCTTACAAGCACTAAACACCAAGGAACAGTTCACCCAGAAAATGTAAGTAATTTCATACAGAATAACATGATTTTCATTTTCTGAGTGAACTGTTCCTTTAACTCTTTCCCCGCCAGCAAAACGTTCTCAGACACTGCAAGCATTTTTGATGATTTTCACTAACATTTCATGACCCCCAGAATATTTTGTTGTATGCATTTCTGAACATGCAATACATCACAATAAAGAAGAGAGCCTCTCCTTTTAAACTAAAAAATCGGTTTTATTCTAGCTTTAAGCATTCTTTTTTATCAACACCTGAATGTAGGTAAGTTTCGTAAAAAAACAACATTTTGAGCAAAAAGCTGAGAAAATTGTATTTTTATCAAACACAACATCTGGATCATATTCAGTAAGATGATCCAAACAAAGATGCAGTAGATGGCTTCCATCAGCACTCCTAAAGCTTGCACAGTCCTTTACTACTTCCTGGATCCACGTTTCACTCGGTAACATTAGGCAGTTTTCATTTATATGCTGTTTATTGTTGATGATCGCATTATTTTTCATATGCATATGCGTCTTCCTCGCCTGTGTTTTTGATCGGGACATTCTGGGCTCATTCAGGAGATGCGTAATAGCGCCCTCTAGTGTATAAAAGTGAAAACATGGGGAAAAAATGTGTCTTGTTTTCTAGTATAAATATCTAAACATTCTTGAATCAAGATTAATTTATTTGACAAGTAAAATGATTTAAGATATTAAGTCTTGTTTTCTAAAAAAAAAAAGATCAAAATTTTGTTCATTTTTGCAACAAGCAAAAATATCCGCCAGTGGCGTAAGAAAAATAATCTTAATTCAAAGGCTAAACAAGATTGTTTTTCTTGCCCCGTTGCTTGTTTTTAGGAAAAACTAACAAAATTTTATATTTTACAGAAAACCAGACATAATATCTTAAGTAATTTTACTTGTACAGCAAATTCACCTTGAATCAATTTGCATTTGCAAATGTTTTTTTTCCACAAGAATACCAACATGCTCACCTTCTCTGGTTTAAGAAGTGGTCTTTTACTTTGCTTTAGCTTGAAAACCAGATCCATTTTGGTCGCAGGCTAGATATAGTTCGTTTTATAGTTCATTGTGTCTGTTTCTGCTTCCAGTGGAAAGACTGCGATGCAGATTGGACGAGAGCAGTCTGTGACTCTGCCGCGACCCGACCTACAGGTGATCCGAACCCGCAGCAAGACCTACCCGAAGAGAAGCACACAGCCCGCAGGTGAGCCGCATCTCACGCCCGGTTCATACCCGATGAGGTGTTTCCTGAGACAAACAACCACACAGAACACCCCAGGCCAGGGGTTCTCAAAGTCTACATTACAAGATCCAAATCTGAATTTATCAATGTCAAAGGTCCGGAACAATTAGTTATTACAAAACTCGTTATTAATAAACATGCGTAACAAATCAACACTTATTTTGAAAATGACAGAATTTTAATTTTTGGGTGAACTAACCCTTTAACGCTAATGCAGCGTCTATGGGAGGGACGGTAAATTTGACATCTTTCTCTCTTCTGACTGCCGTTTTCAGTCTCTCTCAATTTTTTAAAATTTGATTGAAAGTCATGAAAACACTATCGTGGAGTTTTTCTTTTGCTATTTGAGGAAATGGGAATGCAAAAAATATATTTGTGGTACTCTCCCACTCACTGCTCTTCAATTAACCCAACTATGACAACTTCCGCAGCTGAGAAACCCGGAAATGTGAAAAAGGTCTATATTTCCCCTATCTTTATGTTCATACAGTCAAGGTGTTGAACGTTACACTGATAGTTTCAGCTTTTCAACGTTAAAAGGCAGTGATGTAGAATCAGTGGGCGGGGCTAAAGAGGCAGAGATGTAGAATCGGTGGGTGGGGCTAAACAAGCAGTGATGTAGAATCACAGCCTTCACAGACGGACGCTGCTGAGATTTAGCTCAAAAATGCATAAATACTCATATCAAACCATCTGTTTAACAGTCAAAGCAATAGTGATCACGTAATGAAAACAGTTATGCACACTTGTGTTGCGACAGATCCAATATAGCCTCAGTATCGGCTTTTAGTTTCAATCTTTCTGAAAATCCTGTGTCAAATTGTGTTTTGTTCGTAAACGAATCCACGGTGAAATGATGTGAACGAAAGATAGAGTTCTTACTAACGCGATCTGGATGTTCATTAAAAATAAACAACATTGGGATCAGAAGGAAAAGCAATGCAAACACTGTTTCTCCACAGCTTGGCACTGAACAGCAGGGCGGGGCTAAACAGGCAGAGATGTAGAATCAGTGGGCGGGGCTAAACACAGAGATGTAGAATCAGTGGGCGGGGCTAAACGGGCAGAGATGTAGAAGCAGGCGTTGATCTTCTGCGGAGGCGGTGCTTATCCACACTACTACATCAGAGAGTAGAACATCCCACAAGCTGTGGTTTTGGCAGACTGTGTTCAATATAAGCTGTTTTTAGACTATCGCGAAAGTTTTGAGTTCTTTAACTTACAGGATGTTTTAATAGTACAATGACCTCTCATATATCAATCAAGATCATGGGAATTTTGGTTTCTCAGTTCATGACCCCTTTAAGAAACCCAGAGTGTCACATGACATGAGGCTCAGGTGTGCGATTGATCGGTTGGCACGTTTGCTTCAGCGCTCCGCAGGCATGCGATTGAGATAAACGCTGTTGTTGTTGGGCTGAGGCAGGAATGTGTGGGTCACTCCTGACCTCAACGCATGTCTGCACCTCTATTGTTCTGCCCAACACTTGCACACTTAAACAATAGAGCAGAGACTAGAGAGGGCTCGAGTGGAGGATGCAGATGGACGCAGGAAGTGTTCTGCTGAACTGCATGGACACAGTAACATCAGACTGATGTTTTTGGCCACAGAAGCACTCAAGTTTGGGAATTATGTGCTTTAGGGCGGAGCAACGGAGGACAGACGGTCTCCAAGATGGAGAGCGCGAGTGAAGGCCTCAAAAGCACTGCACTAACGCCGGTCAAGAGGTATTCAACTCTTTGTATAACCTTTTCACTGCAAACAGTGATTTTATTCTTGAGCTCGTTCAGTGAGATCATCAAATGGAGACTGCGCTGAATCTCCTGCATCTCAGATGTGTCTCCTGAGAAAAAGACCCCAGTGACTTCATATAGATCTCCTCCAGTTCAAGAAGATCTCAGTATGAGCTCTGACATTTCTCAGAATCAAATGATCTGAGCTGCTTTGCACAGACTGTATGTCAACTATTGACTCATTTGGGTCTATTTTTAGTTCTCTGAAGGAATTTTAGGAGAAACATCTGAGACAAAGTTGATACATCAATGAAACAATTGAGAACGTCAATAAATGTCTTGAACTGCAAATGACTTTCTTCCTCAGTATTTTTATCTTGTTTTCAGCACAAATATTTAAACATCCCTAAGATACATTTGCTTGAGAACAAAAATTACTTCAGATTCTGAAAATCTTCTGAAAAATGCATCAGAAGTTGGTCAGTTTATGCTTAAAATTAAAACAAAAAAATTCCCGCTGGAATCAGGAAAATTAACTAAGTTCAAAGGGAAAATTGATTATTTTTCTGACTCCATTTAGAGATTTTCTCTTGTTTTTAATTGTAAACTCACTTAATTTTGATAATGTTTTTTTTTAGAAAACAAGACTTAATATCTCAAGTCATTTTGATTCTTAAGTAAATGCATCATGCTTTATGAATGTGTATATATTTGTACTGAAAACAAGACAAAAATACTGAAGAATTTTTTTTGCATTGTATCTAAAGATTCTTAAATCAAGATTCGTTTCCTTGAGAAGCAAAATGACTTAAAATATTGAAATATTGACAAGAAATAAGTGAGTTTAAACTTTTAAAAAAACTATCTGCCGATGAGGTCAGACCCCATTTACAGATATTTTTTCTTAAGCAAAACTCATTTATTTTTGATAATGTTGTTTTAGAAAATAAATAAAAGTAAATTAGATTTTTAAGTAAATTTATCATGATAAATGGTTTGATATTTGGACTAAAAAACAAGACAAAAGTACCGAGGAAGAACACTTTCTTGCAGTGTATCTGAGCAGTCTTAAATCCAGATACATTTACATGAGAAGCAAAAAGGACTAAAGATGTTAAGTCCTGTTTTCTAAACCTTTTCTAAACCTGTCCATAATTAAGTGAGATTAAGTTTTACAACAAAAAAAGACATCCACGGATAGGGAAAGAAAATGAAACTTAATTCACGGGGAAAACCAGATCATTTTTCTAACCTCATTAAACTCACTTTATTTTGCTGTATCTTGATTTAAAAATGTTTCGATATTTGTGCATTGTTTCACTGTATCTCCCCAAAGTCCCAAAGCAAAGACAGACAGCACTTCAGAGCCGCAGAGCAAGCCCAGTGCACCATGGGAAGAAGACGCCCCTCAAAGGTACAGCACTGAGAGTTCACTTGTGCTTCCTATATTTACCACGGTACTGTTGGATTCATACCGGTGTTATTTTATTATTTGTGTACCATTATAGTATTTATTAATACTTAGAATTTTGTTTTTCAGTATTTTATACAATTTTTATAATTTGTTTATATTTCTATATTGCTTTGAAATTAATACTCAACTTCAACTTATTTGATTTATTTCAGTTGTATTTATTAACATTTTGAATCAGGCTAGCTTCTTTTCTGTATTGTGCTTTAGTCGTTTTTTATATTTTTATAGCTTTAATTTAAGCACTTCATCTTAAAGATATTTTTAATTTAGCTGTGTTTATTAATACTTTGAATGAGCTTTTATTTATTTACTTAAATTTTAATAATTTAGTTGTGTGCTTTATTCATTTGTATTAGCTGTTGCTATATGGCTTTAATTTTAGCACTTCAACTTGTTTTATTTCATTTATTTGTATTTATTTATATTTCAGCTTTTACCTTTATATTTTCAGTTTATTTTAGTAATTTTGTGCTTTAGTCATTTTTATTAATATGTAATTCTGTATGCATTTAATTGTAATACCTTAAACTTGTTTTATTTCATTTAGTTGTGTTTAGCTTTTATATTAGTTTTTCAGTTCTCATTTTATTTTTAAGATTGTTAGAACTTTGTGCTAGGTTTGTTTTTTATGTGTATTTCTGTGTAGCTTTAATTTTAGTACTCCACCTTAAGGTTATTTTATTAAACTTATTTTATTTAGTTGCCAAGTCAACATTTCCATGTCATTCATCAAGTATTTCTATTTTATGTTAACATTATTTCAGTTACCAAAACCGATTTTTAGTAGTTTCACTTTTAGTGAACAATATCAGCACTGATTCATATTCATGCACTATGGTATTTTATTATGGTATGCCGTTGTATCTGTTTTGTTTGTGCATTCTTGTCCTCTCTAAGCTGTCCCGTCACTGTTTTTTCCTCAGCGGTCTGTACAACTCGGCCAGCGAGCGGAACAAATCTCCCAAATTCCCCAAAGCTCACAGACGTTCACCCTCGGGAGGCAGCGAGAACGAGACGTCTCACTCGGCCCGCCGCAGGTGTGCACATGCATCCCGCCTCTGCATTCAGACTCATTTATGACCTTGAGTGTTAATGCATCTGAAGAAGTGCATGAGAGTCTTTGAACAGCAGCGCTGAATCTCAATCCAGATGCATTTGCTCCCTCTAGTGGAAGTCAACTGGAGCAAAGGGGTTTTGTTACTCCTGGTGTGTAGCAAGAAGCCAAACACAAAGAGTAGCATCCAGGACTATTATTGTTAACTAACACTAAAACTATACTATATATATATATATATATGTATATGTGTATGTGGGTCAAAGACATTAAGATGTCCGCATCAAAATAAATGTACAAAAGTGATTATATGTCCATGGAAAGCACATTAAATGTGTAAATAAAGTGTCTACTTTTAAGGTTTCAAATAAGTTTTTGGAGAATAAAATGCCACAATTTGGTAGAAATAATGTTACGTTGTCATTCAGTGTAACACCATATTTATGTACGAATTCAAACATGCTTATTCTGACGTGTACATATTAAAATAGATAAAAGAATAAGGGAGCATATTACATTTTATTGTGTTATAAATGAGTAAAAATAAATACTGACAAATGGGCAAAACCTAGGATGGTGGCACATTTTAAAAATGTAAAATTACAGCTAATTAGTATTTAGGGTGAAAGTAATTAGTCTTTTAATGTGTCATAAATTAATTTTTGTTGTAAATATGCCTGAGAAGATTGTTACACTGAATGACATTTCAGTGGCTCTCTTCTGTAAATCAGGGGAAAATGTATGATATTTATTTTTTGCTCAGAAAAACAAAATTGCAATTAAATTAAACGGAGAACTTGTAAAACAAAAAATGTGGGAAAATCAACAACAATTTAAAGCAGTATTACACTTATTGTTTTTATGCTTAAACCCTTTTTCGTCTTTGACCCTTATATATATGAATTGAATTGAATTGAATAAATTAGTTAATTAATAAATAAATACATTTATTGGCTTGAATAAAGTAAAATAGAAAAAATGTGAAAACATTTTTTTTCCAGTTGTCATTTTAATTTTAGTTTGTTTTAATTTTTTTATGTGCTTTAGTCATTTTTAATAGTTGTTGTTTTTTTAAATGTTTCTATATAACTTTAATGTTAGTACTTCAACTTCAACACATTCATTAATATTCATTAGCTTTTATTTTTCAGTTTTCTTTTCTTTTTAGTTTAGCTTTTATTTAGGCAACATTTCTCATTTTTGCATAGTTTAAACTGAAGCACTAAAATCGCTAACTGGAAATAAATTATTTAATTTAAAAAATAAAACTGAAATGAAAATAGATCAAACCTAATAGTAATATTTGTTTCAAATAAACAAAAAAAAGCACATATTTAATGTGTATTAAATTACTAAATATTTAACTAAAATTACAATTTAATGTTTTTAAAAAAAAAGCTAATTCAAAATATTTATAAAAACTATAATAGTTTATAAATAATACAAAAATAACACTGGCTGCATCAGAATGAATATTTCTTCTACTGTATTCCTTTCAAAAATTGAGAACGCAATACATTGAATATCTTGTAATGTTTAAAATAAACAAAAAAGCGCATAACAAAGTTACTAGAAATGTTACCTAAATTCAAATGAGAGCTGAAAGTATCAAAAATAAATGCTCAGTTCAGAATAGTATATACATTTAAAAAAAAAAACATTGCTTGTATCTTTTTTAAATGTACTTCAGTCTACATTAGTCTGCAATACATGGATTATTTAGTTATATTTTGTCAGCAGTAGAGGAGGTGAAAGTTCCTCTAGTTATGAGTTCTTGCCTCTGGGCATCAATAAGAAGTGAATCCTGCCGCAGGCGAGGAACTGATGAAAGAATGGCTGAGAATAAATAAATACTGATAAATCCTCACAGCAGCGCAGGCGTCTGTGTCTGTCGGAGATGATGAAACAGTCCGTGTTTCTCTTTAAACGTCCTTCATTGTGTTTTGTCTCGACAGAAAAGGTCAACCTACTGACGACCCACAGGCCAACAAACAATACAGGAGGAGGTTCGCTTTTATTCGTTTGCTGCTTTAGATTTCAACAGCTTCACAACTAATATAATATATAACAGAAAGGAAACAATCAGTGTTTGGTGTCGCGCAGCTCTTTGTTTTTCTAATTTATGCTTTTCAAGGCAAGACAGTTTCTTGGAGTTTGTCGCTGGCTGGTTTTAAATAGAGCCAGACACACAAAATCTGCAGAATGTAGTGTGTTAAAGGAGCAGATCACCCGAAAATGAACATTTGCTGAACATTTACTCACTCCTCGGGTCATCCCAGATCAGGATGAGTTTGTGTCTTCATCAGATTTGGAGAAATGTAGCATTGCATCAGTGTCTCAGCAATGGGTGCTCTGCAGTGAATGGGTGCCATCAGAATGAGAGTCCAAACAGCTGATAAAAACATCACAATAATCCACACCTCTCCAGTCCATCAGTTAACATCTGGAGAAGACAAAAGCTGAGACACATCCAGCATTAAGATGTTTTTAACTTCAAACCATTGCTTCTGGCTAAAATACGTGTCCGCTTCCTTCAATGAGAAACGTATGTCTCCTGTTTTCTCTCACATCAAAATCCATCAGTATTTAGGTTCGTAAACGCTGCTTGATCTGTGCAGATTCTCTCCTGATTCAGACCAGACCACTTTTTCACTGGAGGAAGCGTTGTTTAAGATGTTTTTAACTTCAAACCATTGCTTCTGGCTAAAATACGTGTCCGCTTCCTTCAATGAGAAACGTATGTCTCCTGTTTTCTCTCACATCAAAATCCATCAGTATTTAGGTTCGTAAACGCTGCTTGATCTGTGCAGATTCTCTCCTGATTCAGACCAGACCACTTTTTCACTGGAGGAAGCGTTGTTTTGTTACAAACGTCGGATTTGTTTCTTCCAAACGCACAGCTTTGGTCTTCTCCAGATGTTAACTGATGGACTGGAGTGCTGTGGATTACTGTGATGTTTTTATCAGCTGTTTGGACTCTCATTCTGACGGCACCCATTCAGGATCCATTAGTGAGCAAGTGATGCAATGCTACATTTCTCCAAACCTGATGAAGACACAAACCCATCTACATCTTGGGTGAGCTGAGGGTGAGTAAACACTCATTGGGAACTGTAAGCACAATCAAAATAGGTATATTAAATTTCATTATAATTAAAATATTAAATAAATAAACATTCACAAACATTTGTTTGCTGAGTTCTGCAGTTACAGTTTGGGCCTGGATTTATATATTAGCTGAGTTCTTTTCTACAAAAACTTTATTGTAATTTCATGTTTTTTGTTAGAGAGGGTGTTCATGCCCAGGTATTTTTAAACAGAGTAACCTAATTTGGAACAGAGTGATTATAGATGTGATTTCTATTAATAACATTTTTGTAGAACTGATTATGATCAACTTTCTAGAGCTGTTCAAGAATGTGTGTCGTTTTTCCATTCTGCCCTGTCACCTTTAACCCCTCTGATTGGCCCCTTTAGGTCACGTTCCCGTGGAAACACCAGCAGCGGCAGCGAATCCGAGAATTCCAACAGGGAACATCGTAAAAAAAGAAACCGGTGTGTGATTGAGCTGTCAGGACAATAAAAGAGCACAGGCCTCCTGATATATACGGACGTTATAAATTAAGGCAGTAATGGTCTTAAAAACAATTGTTGCAGGAACTTGTGAAAATCTTTGAGAAAAGCAGGAAATCTTTGCAAGAATTTGTATCATGATATAAATGCATTCTCATCTCTGTAACCTGCAGGTCCCGGCAGGAGAACGAGATGGTTGACTCTGGTCCGCAGTGGGAGGTCGTGCTACGCAGACAGAAGGAAAAAAACCCCAACGATCCCAACCATCGGCGCTCGCGACACCGCTCACGATCGTAAGCACCTGAAACTATTAACCCTGTAAAGCCTGACATATGAAGTCGTGGTTTTTAAATGGAACATATTTGACACATCAGGCTTTTATGGCTCATATAATCTGGTTTAGTGAGAATATAGAGAGAGAAAAACAGCCCAGTTTTATTCAGAGTCCCAAACTGAGCAAAAATATGAAATATGGTGCAGATGCTGATATTTACATAGACAAGAAGTAGTTAAATTCTGATGCTTGTAATTTAAATCAATGAGATCTTTATAAGAGTACAGCAGATACTTACATAAAATGATCTAAATATCAGTCATCACTCTATATCTCCAATAATAGTAAGATGAGATTGAAATGCTCCAAACATATAATGCAGTGATTGAGAGCTGAAGAAATAAAGGCTCCTCAGAAGATGTGAGATGTTCTGGAGGCTTGTGAAGATCATTCCTCCGCTGAGGAACAGTGAAAGTAAAGCTTCTGGAAACAAACGCTCCTCAAAAGATCCTGAGGATCAGATTTGAGACTCTAAAACATGATTGATGGAGAATCAAGTAAAGCTGAGCTGCTTCAGTCCAGTAAGTGTTCATCTGGAGATATTACTGCAGTTATTCTCACGTTTACTTGATAAAAATCGGTCAAGATTTGACACGAGAAGCTCCAGCTGAAGCTGGATGTCTCTACAATTACACTAAAAGAGCTTTTACTGGATAAAACACTCAAAACTATCAATCAGACGACAGAAGATTGCGTGTGACAGCAAAGTTTTGTTCATGTTGATCATTAGAGGCCCATAAAGATTTAGATTTTTAGTAGATTTTTAGGGTTAAATCATAAAAAATCTAAATGACCCGACCCTTTTTCTTCTCGTCTATCGCAGACAAAGTCCTGACATCCAAGCTAAAGAGCAGCTCTGGAAGCACATCCAGTGAGTTTAACGTCCCGCTCGTCACTGATCAGACTCCAGCTCTAAACGGCAGAAGACAGACGGTGATGATCATGTTGTGTTTGTGTGCAGGAAGGAGCTGGTCGAACCTTCAGGTCTCTCTGAGGAGCAACTAAAGGAGATTCCGTACAAGAAAGTGGAGTAAGTCAAATAAACCTGTCCTCCTATAAAACAGGACTATCAATAATTCCACAAATAGGGTTAACATTGGTGTCCCATAAAAAAGGAAATGCCCAAATGTATACGCCTAATGAAAGTGTGCCTCTTGTCAGTGTTAAAACCCCCAGGCAATTAGTGTCCATAGAAAACACTGAAGAAATAAAGGCTCCTCAGAAGATGTGAGATGTTCTGGAGGCTTGTGAAGATCATTCCTCCGCTGAGGAACAGTGAAAGTAAAGCTTCTGGAAACAAACGCTCCTCAAAAGATCCTGAGGATCAGATTTGAGACTCTAAAACATGATTGATGGAGAATCAAGTAAAGCTGAGCTGCTTCAGTCCAGTAAGTGTTCATCTGGAGATATGACTGCACTTATTCTCACGTTTACTTGATAAAAATCAGTCAAGATTTGACACGAGAAGCTCCAGCTGAAGCTGGATGTCTCTACAATTACACTAAAAGAGCTTTTACTGGATAAAACACTCAAAACTATCAATCAGACGACAGAAGATTGCGTGTGACAGCAAAGTTTTGTTCATGTTGATCATTAGAGGCCCATAAAGATTTAGATTTTTAGTAGATTTTTAGGGTTAAATCATAAAAAATCTAAATGACCCGACCCTTTTTCTTCTCGTCTATCGCAGACAAAGTCCTGACGTCCAAGCTAAAGAGCAGCTCTGGAAGCACATCCAGTGAGTTTAACGTCACACGCTCGTCACTGATCAGACTCCAGCTCTAAACGGCAGAAGACAGACGGTGATGATCATGTTGTGTTTGTGTGCAGGAAGGAGCTGGTCGAACCTTCAGGTCTCTCTGAGGAGCAACTAAAGGAGATTCCGTACAAGAAAGTGGAGTAAGTCAAATAAACCTGTCCTCCTATAAAACAGGACTATCAATAATTCCACAAATAGGGTTAACATTGGTGTCCCATAAAAAAGGAAATGCCCAAATGTATACGCCTAATGAAAGTGTGCCTCTTGTCAGTGTTAAAACCCCCAGGCAATTAGTGTCCATAGAAAACATGCATTATTCAGCTCAGTGAATCTCTAAAACCGTTCCTCATGAGCTGTATGTAAATCTGATGTTTTGGGATATCAGTCTGCTGAACGCCAAGTTCGCATTAACACAGAAAATGAGCTTTTAAAGGGATAGTTCACCCAAAAATGAAAATTCGGTCATTAATTACTCATCCTCGTGTCGTTCCAAACCCGTAAGATCTTCGGAACACAATTAAGATATTTTTGATGCATTCCGAGAGCTCTCTGACGCTCCCATAGACAGCAAGGATCCTAACACGATCAAGACTCAGAAACGAAGCAAGGACATCGTTAAAATAGTCCATGTGGCATCAGTGGTTCAACCGTAATTTTACGAAGCTACTTTTTGTGCACAAAGAAAACAAAAATAACTTTATTCAACAATTCATCTCCTCCACGTCACCCTATAGCGCCATTTTGGAGAGCATCACATGCGTAAACAACGCATGCAATGTATGTACACGGATACAATGTTTACGTTGTTTGCGCTTTGATCTGAACGTTAACAACGTATCCGCGAACATACGTTGCATATGTTGTTTACGTATGTGATACTCTCCAAAATAGAATTGGAAAGCTTGTAGCTGTTGTAAATTGTAGCTTCGTAAAATGACTTGCAAACAGCTGCATGTATCTGGTTTCAGAACACAAGGTGACCCGATCAAGATCCGCCATTCACATTCTCCCAGGAGCTTCCGGCAGTTTCGACGCTCCCACTGTTCGGATGGCGAGCGGTCTGTGCTCTCCGAGGTCAAGTAAGTGCATTCTGAGCGGTCAAGAGGATGTTTTGTATCACACGCGCCGATCTCAGGTCAGATTCATTTTTATTGTCTTTCAGCTCTCGGACCGATCTGGTGCCTCCTCTCCCGGTTACCCGCACCGCAGACGTGCCTGGTTCCAGCTCGACCCCTGCACAGGTCAGACACACACTTTGCCTTCTTAATTATTTAAAGGAATAGTTCACCTAAAAATGAAAATTTGCTTAACATTTGCACACCCTCAGGCCATACAGGATGTAGATGAGTTTGTGTCATCATCAGATTTGGTGAAATGTAGCATTCCATCACTTGCTCACCAATGGATCCTGAATGGGTGCCGTCAGAATGAGAGTCCAAACAGCTGATTAAAAACATCACAGTAATCCACAGCACTCCAGTCCATCAGTTAAAATCTCAAGAAGCCAAAAGCTGCGAGTTTGTTAGAAACAAATCCATCAATAAGACGAATATAAAATACGAGTCCATAATCCATAATAATGCTTCCTCTAGTTAAAAAAGTGGTCTGGTCTGAATCAGGAGAGAAATCTGCACAGATCAAGCACCGTTTACAAGCCAAAACAGCTCTAAACAAATATGTGGATGGATTTTGATGTGAGAGACAACAGGAGATGCACTTTTTCTCTAGAGGAAGCGTTATTATGGATTATGGACTCGTATTTTGGCCAGAAGTGGTGGTTTGAATTTAAAATGCTAGATTAGAAGTTACATTGATGGTTTTGTTACTTACAAACACGCAGCTTTTGGCTTTATAAGATGTTAACTGATGGACTGGAGTGCTGTGGATTATTGTGATGTTTTTATCAGCTGTTTGGACTCTCATTCTGACGGCACCCATTCACTGCAGAGCATCCATTGCTGAGCAAATGATGTAATGCTACATTTCTGCAAATCTGATGAAGATACAAACTCATCTACATCTTGGATGGTCTGAGGGTGAGTAAATGTTCAGCAAATTCTCATTTTGGGGTTAACTATTCCTTTAAGTGGTGAACAGTTTCATTGCTATTTTTTAATGTTAACCTTTAGAGCGAGAGTCAGAGATCCATCTGATTTCAGTCGGTTATTTCATCAATGTCTGATGTTTCTCACTCTATTGTATGTGCCTATTTCTGTTCCTTTCAGAAGAAAGGCTCCAAAGACACTCTCTCAGAGAGCTCCGAGCAGGACGCAAAAAGCACCGCCAAGGTGGTGAAGACCGTGCACACATCTCGAGTGAAAACAGAGACGTGACCGCTTTCACAGTCGACGTGTCAAGGACGAACGGCAGGGTTGCCAGTGAAATGAAAAGTCAAGCTCTGGTGGAGCCTGTATGAAAACACTGAAGTTATGCAGATACACGGACACCCTCAATAAAGATTCAAGCTCCTTTCTTCATAGTTCATGCCATAAATGCATTTCTTCACCAGTCTAGGATTAGCCGTGTCCCTTCACAGAGGTTTGGTCGGTGTATCACTCAAGCACACTGCAAACTTAGAAATTAGATTAATTTCCTACTGACAATCAAATGAAGGATGGTGGACTGTCGGTGGTGTCAAGTCTGATATTGCAAACATCTCAAACTCTTTTGAACACATTTTCTACAGTATTAAACGTCTGTGCGCTCGAGCACCGTGTGGGAATGATGGTAAACAGTGCGTCGTATTATTATTATTATTGTTCGTTGTGTCCTCAGATTTTAGAGTCAGCTCTGCTGTAGGAAATGTTGCTGCTGTATTTCTATTTTTGTTTTTGCACAATAATGTAGACTCGTGTATCTTGTTTCAAAATCACTGTAGCTAAACTGGAAGCTCAAATTATTGCGTTTTAACAACTTCTTGTCAATAAATACATTATAATACATTCATTCTGGGGTTATTGTACCTGTCTGGTGTCTTTGCAAAAGCAAAGTGCACTGGTTTAAATTATTTGGTTATTAGGATGTTATCTGTGAAATGACACACTGCAGCCAGTAGAGGGAGGCAAACAGCTTGCTTTTTTGTATTCTGAAGTCAGTGTAAGTGTAAAAAAAATAATAATTTACAGTCAGCTGACAGGAGCAGACCTCATTGTTAGATCTTTTAGTGAAAGAACCAAACTTATGATGTTTTTGATTAATGAAATAAGATTTTTGTCATTATTTTTATTACGTGGTAAAATGCGATAAGGAGCTTGAAGCTCTTTAACTTGGTAGACTATTTAAATTAAGGTTAATTTCACATTAGCGCTGTTACTATAGTGTGTATTTGAGCTCAGTTTATAAAGCAACTTATTGCATACTGAAAATTTAAACAGCATTTTAAACAACATTCGTCAGCGCGCTAAATATTCGCTCGCGATCGCACTCGCGTGGCACCAGTTCGCCGCTCCCGCGCTTTTCGTGAGGATCAGTTTGAGACGTTGGGTCAGCAAAACAAATACTTATTCAGCACTTTATGACAGATTTCACAGTTATGTCACACACAGTGTTTCCTTTGAGAAGTTATTAATATCCAATAGGTCACGCCAACGTTTGTCAAACTGGCAAAATGCCATTTGTGTTGCGTGAGACTGTGTGAGTTACACGATCGCTTTCGGAAAATGGCTTTAAAAATTACATCTGAAATGTTTAACCTTTTAAAAAAAAACAACGTATATTTCGGAAACTGAATCGATTTTGTTAGCAGTAGATATGTGCATCTGCAAATGCTTTGAATGTAAATTGTGACTGAGCCAAAACAAAATCCCTCCTTTCACGTGTTCCTTTAGAAAGTGTCGATCAAATTTATACTAGACCTTTGCAAAAATTAGCTTTGTGTACAAAACTCAGCATGTTCCAACATCGTGAGACATGAAATGGTGGATTATAAAGAAAATGTGAGTGGTGTTTCGACGCCTCAATGCTAAGGGGTTATTTGTGGTTGTTAGGGGGTTGCTGGAGTGTTTGTTTATTTGCACACGTGTCAAAAAGTCCATCACACTATATTCTGTCTCAGAAGTTTAAAGGGATAGTTCACCTAAAAATGAAAATGTGATGTTTATCTGCTTACCCCCAGGGCTTCCGAGATGTAGGTGACTTTGTTTCTTCAGTAGAACACACATGATGATTTTTAACTTTAACCGTTGCAGTCTGTCAGTCGTATAATGCATGGCAATGGTAACAAA